TCGACGCAATGCTTTCAGATTTCCTCTTACTCGTGCTCAAGCCGCACAGTTTGCATGTTTTCCTGCTGAAGGACCTGAAGACACAATCTGGTATCCTTGTCTTAATACTATGGCTATGGGGGACAATAATGCGGTTGAGCTGGGTCAAGGAGCACATGTGTTGTTGGGGCTTAGGGCTGGTATTTTCAAACCTGAAGAAATGTTGACTACACACAGCAGAGCACCTAGGGGACCTCTTGCGTGCGGTATCATCATTGATGACATCATCTTCGCAGAACAACTGGCAGTTGATTTAGATCTCACAGCTTTCACTGATGGCGAGCGTAGATTGTCTCTCATGTGCGAGCAGTACCTGCAAGAAGGGCTAACAGCTCATCCTGCCAAGACTTTTCAAAAGTCCACTCATGCCCAGTTTTGGGGCGTTTCTGTGGATGGCAAACGCGGCACTGTGCAGGCTTCTCCGAAGCGTTTGATTCCCTTGATAGAGCTGACCACTCGCACAGCGCGCAGTGGTGTCGCCACGGTGGGCCTGCTAGAGATTTTGGCAGGATCTTGGGTGTCTATTTTTCAATGCCGCAAGCGCCTGATGTGCTTGTTGGATGAGATTTATTTGGCCCAGCAGGGAAGGACCTCTGACACAGTGATCAAGCTGTCCCCGACGCTGCAAGATGAGTTGTGGCTGCTGGCCATGCTTGGGCCGTTGGCAGTCACAAATCTGCGGGCTCAGAGCATTGGCAGAGTCTTCTTGTCTGACGCTTCAGAGCAGTTCAAGGCGACGGTAGTCGCCGATGTTTCCCTGTGCTTTGCTCGAGAATTACACAGGCATGCTTTGGCCAGGGGCACTTGGAGCAAACTGCTCACGCCCTGGAAGCTTTGGTGTAAGATGCATGGTCAGCTTTTTGAAGAGGAGGAATTGCCCGATGGTGCCCCTTTGGTCAGCCACCCTATTTGGTTGGCGTTGGCTCAAGCTTTGAGGTTTTCCCTTTTTCAGCGGAAAGAAGTGCGGCGGCGGCGGCATATCAACCTTTTGGAGTTGGAGTCCATTTTGGAGGTGGAAGAACGGCTGGCAAGGAGCCAAGGTGACATCAGATATCTACTGGGGTCTGATGCCCAGGTGGCTTTAGCCGCCATTTTGAAAGGCAGATCCAGCTCGCCGAGATTGAACAAAGTTCTGCAAAGAGGCCTTGCTACCGTGATAGGTTCTGGGTTATATGGCAGCTATGGCTATGTCCCCTCTCTTGCAAATGTCGGGGATGACCCCACTCGGGGTGTTGCTGTGAGATCTCCTGAAAGACCTGTCCCGGAATGGTTGGCCTCGGCCTTGCTAGGTGACTTTGCGGCGATGGATGGCTGGCTGGCCGCCCAGGGGTATGATCCTCTGCATTTGGCGAACTTGGACTTTCTGAAAGACAGTAGTGATGGAGACGGTGTAGATAGGCATGCTCTAGATAGTCAGCTTTTAGCCGAACTGCGAAGTGTACAGAAGCCGGGTAGGATGCAGCGTTTTCTTAATTCTAGCCTGCCAGAGGTAGGCCAAAAGCAGGAGAGTTTCACCCAGGACTCAAAAATTAGGGACGCTTGTACAGATGCAACTCGTAGCAGCGTAGGTCGCGTAGGTGGTGCGGAAGGTAGAGTAGCTCCGGTCCCTTCCGGGTGTACAGATCTGGTAGGTGTGGATCAACAAAAAGAGAAGTCAAGAGGGCATGAAAAGCCATGCAAAGGCAAAAAAGAAAGTTGTAACAAGAGGCATCAAGATCCTATAAGGACACCACCCACAAGTGGTGGAAACAAAGAGCCCGTCTCAGCTGTTGTTGTTTCTCATTGTGAACGGGTAGCCCCTCCCGAAGAAGTAGGTAAAGTAGGAACAACTAGCTCGAAAGAGCTCCCCAAGGGGCGTCGGCTGCGGCGTGCCATGGCCGAACATTCAAATTCTCCGCTGCTGAGTGCGGATAGCAGAGAAGCCTTGCGGCTCCTGCCTGCCCACATGGCCGAATATTCAAATTCTCCGCTACTGAGTGCGGATAGCAGAGAAGCCTTGCGGCTCCTGCCTGCCCACATGGCCGAACATTCAAATTCTCGGCTACTAAGTGCGGATAGCAGAGAAGCCTTGCGGCTCCTGCCTGCCCACATGGCCGAACATTCAAATTCTCCGCTGCTGAGTGCGGATAGCAGAGAAGCCTTGCGGCTCCTGCCTGCCCACATGTTTTTGCTGCCCGGGGGCCGTCGTGCCCCTGATGAATGGGATCCTTCCTGTTTGCAGAGACGGGGCGTCCTTGACCTCTACAGCGGTGACGCTGGAGTGGCACGTGCGCTGAGCAAAAAGTTTGGAGTGTGGGTTCTTACCGTGGACTTTGCCCATGGACCTGAACAAGATTTGTTGCAGCCTGAGCTACAAGCCCTACTTTGTCGTTTAGCGCGGATGGAAACTTTTTTGGGGCTAGGTGCAGCTCCTGAGTGCTGCTCGTTCTCACGAGCAGTGACACCAGCGGTACGAAGTGCCGAGCACCCGCTGGGCAAACCTGGTATCAGCCTCAATATGCAGAAAAAGGTTGCTGCAGGAAATAGCCATGCTGAGTTTTTGCTGAAGATTTTAGGCATTTTTGTAGAGCTGGGGTTGGCGTATTGGGTTGAGAACCCTGATGGGTCTTTCCTTTGGATGCTGCCTGCGTGGATGGCTGCTGGCTTGGGACGTCAAGAGTCTTCTTTTCGTTTTGACATGTGCCAGTACTCCACCCCTTGGCGAAAGCGCACCCGCATCGCCACCAGCACTGCGCTGCGGGGTTTGCGTTGTCTTTGCCTTGGAGGTCATAGCCATTTGACTCTACGGGGTCGCAGCAGTGCTCATGGCATGTGTTGGACCCGAGTTGCGCAGAAGTACCCCAAAGAACTTTGCCTTGACTTGGCTTGGGCTATGGCAGCTCAGATGGGGCTCACCCCCAAGCAGCCGAAACTACAGGTAGCACACTGTGCAAAATGTACCAATGCCCGTGTGGGTGAAGCACAGAATCCTGGCCCACGACATGCAGCCCCGCGTGTAGCCCGAGATGTTCAACAGCTGGAAGAGGTGCGGCTGGTGAATAAACAGACTCAGGTTCTCCAGGACAGGGTTTGGGCTGATTTTAATAACTGGGTTTGTAGCGTAGTTAGCCTTGCAGCAGCAGAGCAGCTTTTTCTTTGCCCGCAACTAGCAGTGGACGTGTTGGTGAACTATGGCAAGAGCCGTTTTGCGGCTGGAGCCCCAATGTATGAGTTCCGGCACCTTCTGGTCTTAGCTCAGCAGAGTCAAGCAGGTCTCCGGGCGCACATGACTCCAGCCTGGCGGCTGCTGTCAAAATGGGAGGCAGTACAGCCTTTGCAACATCGCCAACCACTACCTGAAGTGCTTTTTCGCGCTATGTTTGTGGTGGGAATGCTATGGGGATGGCGGCGATGGTCTGCTACTTTACTGCTGGGCTTCGAAGGCATAGCGAGGATTGGAGAAGTTCTCCGAGCTTCCCGCGCAGATTTAGTCCTTCCCTGTGATAGCTGCGATAGTGTGACGGGGGTTGCTTTTCTGCGTGTTTTGAAGCCAAAGAGTTCCCGTAGGGGAAAAGGACGGATCCAACACCTAAAGATTGCCGATGCCAATGCAGTGTCCTTTCTGGAGCATGTATTTGGCCCTCTTGACTTCTCCTTGCAACTTTTTCCACTTTCTGCAGGTGTTTTTCGGCGACGTTGGGACAAGATACTAGAAGCTTTGCTGGTCCCGAAGAGCAGGAGACCAACGCCTGCAAGTATCCGTGGAGGTGGAGCCATTTTAGCATACAAACGTGGTGAGCCCATTTCGGATATTTTGTGGCGGATGCGTTTGGTGTCCCTGACCACGCTGGAGAGCTACCTTCAAGAGTTAGCTGCAGATAGCCTACTGACACATTTGCCTGAACGGAGCCGCTGCCGTATTCGCAGCGCCGCTGCCCTTTTTGATCTCCAACTGCGGTCACCTGGTTAACCTATACTGTACAAGCTCGTACCTGAGGTGACGGCCCTTACGAAGAGTGGTGGGGAGAGGCCTCTTCTTTTGCCCTTTGCAGTGCTTTTTGTTTTCACTGAGCTGGAGCTGCAAAGGACTTGTAGGCCTTCTCCATAGGGAATCGATCCCATACACTTGCCAAGGGCGAGCAGGTTGCAAAACGGAGTAGAGCTGAGGGCCAATGCATGACCTCTCATGCATTTCCCGGTGCTCAGCAATTTGGGCCCAACCCGGCCCCCCCAAGGTGGGGAGAGGCCTCTTCTTTTGCCCTTTGCAGTGCTTTTTGTTTTCACTGAGCTGGAGCTGCAAAGGACTTGTAGGCCTTCTCCATAGGGAATCGATCCCATACACTTGCCAAGGGCGAGCAGGTTGCAAAACGGAGTAGAGCTGAGGGCCAATGCATACATATATATATAATATAATATAAATGTGGATGTCCAATTTACCGCAAAAACTGATGTATAGCCAACATTAACACGATGGAAAGGGGGACCACATGGTGCCCAGCTGAGGCGTCGTTCAGGGCAGACATCAGACCTCTCTGCAGGCCACGACCTGCCTGGCCAAAATGAAGAATCCCAGAATCAGATGGTTGAAATTCATCCAGTTTCATCCAAATCCATATAATCCATCCATTTCAAGATCGGAAGTGAATCATAGTGAATCTACGTCTTCCAGTGATGACGATCTCGCCACCAGCAAAAATCATGAGTACGTTTTCATGATATCTCTGGGGCATTCTTTGGCCATATTTTGGAACAGAGAGTCATAGATAGCCACGATAGCCATGTGTGATGTTTGGCGGCTCAAGCAGCCACCATGCTCACCGTGGCTGCATGGTTCGGGTCCATGGCCGGCCATGGCTGGGCCTTCGGCACCGGCTGGCAAAGCGAGCGAAGCGAGCGAAGCGAGCGGTGAAAGATGGACCCAATAGGGTGGAGAAACACATCGATTTTGTACTGGAACTTTTGGCATGTAAGAAATCAGCCTCATGGCAAAAGGCATGCAACTTGCTTGTTGCGATGCCAACAGCAAAGCTGCAACCGGAGATCAGGCAGTTCAACGTGACCATTGCAGCTTGCAAGAAGTCTCAAGAATGGCAACAAGTCTTGAACCTTCTTCATGTGATGCCACAGTTGAAGCTTGAGCCAGATGTCATCAGTTGTAACGCAGCGTTGAGCTCCCTAGGTCCCCGCTGGCAGATGGCCATCCATTTGTTGGAAAGCTGCAGCTCCTACAGGCTACAGCCAGACGTGATCAGCTTCAACGCCACCATGAGTTCCTGTGAGAAGGCACAGCAGTGGCAGCAGGCCCTGCTTGTTTTTGAAACGATTTTCAAGGATACTTGGTTAGACGGTTAGACGGAATGCCAAAAGGTGCCATGTGATTTTGTTCGTTTTGTTGTTTCCGATGATTTTGTCTTCCAGTTTTTTGGAGATGGTCTGAGATTTTTTCTTTTGACACATCTTTTGATGCGGACTTGACCCAGGATGCCAAGATTCAGCCCAACCCTGTGAGCTTCAACACTGCCATCAGCTCCCTCCCTGGAGGTTGGCCTAGGGCTCTGCTGCTGATTGATCAGGCTCAGCATCAGGCAGATGTGATGAGTTTCAATGCAGCCATGAGTTGTTGCAAGAAGGATGCGGCATGGCGGGAAGCAGTTGGCATTCTGGATGCCATGATCTTCATGACTCTGTCGCCAAATCTCGTGACCTACAATACAGCCATCAGTTGCTGTGAAAATGATGGGGAGTGGCAAACTGCTTTGAGGCTGCTTGAGGCCATAGATGAGTCGAGGATGGAGGCAGATGTCATCAGCTTCAGTGCAGCCATCAGCTCACATGCGAAGATGGGCAGGTGGGAGGAGGCCATCAGTTTCTGGCCGGTGCTTTGGGAGACGTTTTAAATTTCTTTTTAATGGAAATTCGCACAAACAGTGGGAAGACATTGTATATATTATATTGTATTATGTCAACATAATTGTACTTGTATTGTATTAATTATACAATATCAATTTATGTCAAATTATATAGTATTCTGTTACATCATATTATATGAATCATATCAAATCACATTAATAATTATATTGACTTAAGATCAATTATATAATTTCATATGAAATCAAATTAGATTAAACTATACTATATTGTATTGTATCGTATGGCATTGTATGGTATTGTTGTCATACAATATTATATTACATCATACTACATCATATTACATCATATTACATTATTTTACATTATATTACATTATATTACATCATATTACATTATATTACATAATATTACATTATATTACATTATATTACATCATATTACATTATATTACATTATATTACATTATATTACATTATACTATATTACATTGTATTACATTCTATTACATTATATTACATTATATTACATTATATTACATTATATTACATTATATTACATTATATTATATTACATTATATTACATAATATAGCAACATATTACATTGCATTAATTACATTTCCATTACATTATCTCATGTTACAAACACATATTTATAACCATATCTATATCTTTATACACACACATATATATATATATATCTGATGTTTCCCATCCCCCCAAAGGAATGCTGATCCTTTTTTTTTAAATAACTGTCTTTGGGCCGGGCGTCAGGTTTGTTTGATGAGATGAAGCGCCAGAAGCTCCAGCTGGATGTGATTTGCTTTGGAAATGCCATGACTTCGTGTGCCAAGTTTCGTCAATGGCAAGCCGCCCTCGCCCTACTGGAAACTGGGGCCATGAGGATTTTCCAAGCATGGCTTTTGGGGACGATTTTCAGTTAAAAACCATGGCAAAGCTAATTTGTGTTGAAAAGCTCCCATGCCTTCAACAATAAGGGATCTGAGGTTCTTTTTGCGACATAGCCGGAGGGTTGCGCAATGTTTTTTTCCTTGGACCTACCCAATCTTTAACGTTTTTTCTTGGATTTCTTGGCTGATTTTGTGGCCACTAAGGAGACCATGTTGTCTTGTCAATTGCCTCCTAGCAGCATCAGCTTCAACGTGGCTCTGCATGTTTGCTCCATGGCCGGGCGTTGGTTGAAAGCCCTACAGTTGTGCCGCAAAGCAGGTCCAGCAGCGGATGTGATTAGCTACAGTACCAGCATCAGCGCGTGTGAACCTTGGCCGTGGGAGAACATGAGGGAGCGGGCCCCGAAAAAAACATGGGCAACCAAGGAGCTGCAAAAGGTTTCCTAACCACATACAGATTGGAATGCAAGAGTTGCCAAATTGCAGACTTCAGAAGGTTTCCACCCGGAAACATGTTAAAATCCCCAAAGGAAGAGCGCAGAATAGCTCATCTGAAGCGCACGGTTTATCGAACGCACCTACGAAGTGTTTCGGTCAAACGTTTCGGTAATCAGCTCCCCGGGAGTCACTAGAGCCCACCGAAGGGTTGAGAGCTGCAGAGCTGAACCAATCTGTTGCCAGGAAAAGGCTGCGGCATGGCAGCAGGCTCTTGCTGCACTATGGGAGATGCCCAGCCGCGTGCTGCCCAATGTGGTCACTTTCAATGCAGCCATCAGCGCATGTGAAAAGGCTGCCAAGTGGCAGGCGAGACCGAAACGACACGGCTTGATGGTTGATTTATGGGAAAATCTTCGCCAAAAACCATAGACATCCACAGACCATTGTTTTTTAGCCTTCCCATGGTAAAATTCTTAGGATTTAGGGCTGTTTGGGTGTATGATAAGGATTCTTGGTCAAAATTTAGGACGCAGGGGACCACAGATGGATTGGTTATATTTTTTTGTATTCTGGATATGATATGAATGATCGATTTCTTTGTACTCCAATTTTGAACCCTAGATTTTATATATTTTTATATTATATATGTTTGATCCATTTTTATTTGTTGCCATGAAAATACAACCCACCGCTTCTGTGGAAACCCCAGAGATCCCCAGATGGCACTGGGCCTCGTGGAAAAGATTATGGAGATCCGACTGGCACCAGACGTGATCACCGTGAACGCTGCTCTGAGCTCATGTGAAAAGGCGCCAGGTGAATGGCTCCAGGCCTTGCGTTTGTTTCATGTGATGCCTCAATGGAAGCTGAAACGAGATCACATCAGCTACAGTTCGGCCATAAGTTGTTGTGAGAAAGCTGGGCAATGGCAGCAGGCACTCAACTTGTTGGCCTGCTACAAGCGCTGGGCAGTGGAAAACATGGAGTGAAGAACGCAGGGATTGGGACTGATGGCCTCTGAATTGCGCATGTTGGTGCTTGATGACGAGGTAAGCTGAGGGGGTTGTATGGGGTTGCAACGTTCCTGACAGGTTAAGACATTGCTCGGGACTTCCATTTTTTTGCTAAGAATTTTCATAGTGGTGGAACCTTTGAAAGGTTGTCAATCAGATGTCCAATGTTCTGCGTTGACCCATACATGTTTGGATGGAGCGATCCAAAGAGCACGGTAACCATAAGACTTGCTGCCTTGCGTAGGGAAGGAAACATGTTAGCGAACGGCTTGCCACCATTTCAATGACTCCTGCACGGACAGCAGATGTTACCATAAGGAAAAGTCAGGAACACATTCTTTTATCGAAAAAACATTGTGACATGCCAAGAGATGACTACAGGAAACCCAATGTTCCCTGATTTTTACCGGGAGGTTCCCTGCCTAAGATTCCCCAAAAAGTTCCCTAAAACTGCATGAACAACTTCTAAAATAATCCGAGGAGTTTCCTGAATTTCTCGGTGACGTTTCCTCAAAAATCCTCGATCATCGTGCGGCCATGGAGGTTTTGGCGCGAAGACTCAACTGCGTCCAGTGTTTTTGCCCGCCGCGGCCTGAGCAGGATGGGCATGAGGCACGACTTCATTTTTGATGCTTAGATCAGTTCCATATCAGTTCGATCCCCTAATATTGGTTGATGAAATGTATGAAATCCCATGAAATGCCTATTTTTGACGGTTACATCACCATTTTAGGATGAAATCCCATTGGTTCAGTTGGGAGAAGGTGAAAGCCACCTCGGTGGTCTCGGAGACGGCCCTTCAAACCTGGAAAGACAGGCGCTTGGTGAAAAACCACAATTGGTAACCACAACCCATGGGGATTAAAACTATCCTATAACAATCCTATAACTATCATAAATTATGAGAATATATATATAATAATAATAATAATAATATATAGATAGAGTATATGAGCAAATGATAGCAAATGATAGCAAATGTACATATCAAATAAGATACAGATCTCATCCAGCTGATTGTATAGCTTTTATGGGAATTGGGCATAGCTGATTGGCTGGAGCCATGTTGGCAGGATGGCCAGGTCACCGGGGGTCACCCAGTTCTTGGAACTTCTGCAAGAACTGGTGGGACCCCACTATGATATAATATAATATAATATAATTTAATATAATATAATATATATATAATATTGTATATAATATTAATAATATTGTATGATATGTGATATATATATATATACGGGTATCCATGATAGTTCACTAGTTCTCAACCATGCGAAATCGCTGCACCACTTGAATTCAACACATCTCGTATCTTATTTTACCAAGCAGTTCACTAGTTGCTACTAGTTCTGTGATGATTCACAGTTCAATCATTTCAGTGTCAACTAGATGTGATTTCCTGCGGATGATTACCTCGACCTGCTAAGTCCAAAAGGACATTGACAGTCACGTCCCTGTCGTTTCAACCTGTTTCAACATTTTCAAAACATCATCCACAATTTTATGCTCCTCTGCCCCCCACCCCTCCCCCCGTCAGTGTTTCAGGATATGTTGGGCTGAAACACGGTGAAACCTGCATAGACACTTGGGTTTGTCATTGGATATCGTAGGATTTAAGGGAAATCGGATCAAACATGATCAAACTATATAATGTTTTTTGTTTTGAAATTGTGGCTTACTATCTGCAAAATTCATCAAACTTCCGCATATAACCCCAGGAAATCCACATTAACCCCTCATGGTCTGTCGGGTTTTAATGGGTTTTCCACATTAAATTAAGATAAATTAAGTATCAGTAGTTCAGCAGTTCATTGAATTTTGTTAGGTTCGTTATTTCCAATACGAGAACTCCAACCACTTTGCTTGCAAAGGTGGTTAGCATAACCTCTTCAAGAATTGCTTTTACATCGTAGCAACCACCACCTTTCAATCAGTCAGAAATCATCCTTATCTTTAACCATTTAGATATACTAATTTAGATTAAACATCGATCATTTTAGCTCTCTCTCTCTCTCTATCTACATACATGCATACACACATATATATATATTAGCCATTAGCTATCTCATCATCCTTACAGCAACCATGGAAAACCATGGACGAATCCCTTCGTCAGGTGGCTCCAGGCCAAACGTCATGCCCAGGGTGTGGCGGAGGTCTCCTGCATCGTCTGGCGTCCCAGGGCCAGCGGAAATGGTGGATTTATATGGATTTATCCACAAAAATGGCTGGATTTATATGAATTTCTCCGCAGAAAATGGTGATCTATACTTCGAATAATGGATGATTATGGATGATTTAAGTGTTAACAACAAATGATAATGGATGATAATGGATTTGGGGGCGAAAAACAATCATTTTTATGGAGACGTTGATATAGTTGGTATGACAAACACATACTAACAATATTTTTCAATCCGCTCTCTGGATCGGTATTGAGAAAACAACCAACGACATGTAGAACAAATATGAAGAAATTACCCCCATCGGTAGTCAAACATGGCTGGGAAATCCTCCATTGAAGAAACAGTTTGTTCGATGAGTTTCCCAGATATGGCTATGGATCAATACCTATAAGTACCATTTTTAGTGGGATGAACATCCATAAATCCCAGCTATTTTGATGTGAACTACAGGGGTACAAGGTTTTGACACACTGCCAATATAAACCTCCCAGCCATGTCACTGGGAGATGGGTCTCCTGAGGTGCTGTCGGCAGCTGATGCATTACGACAACTACCATTTCATTTGCCACCAGACTGACATGGCTGACATGGTCTCCGAAAACGGGGGATACCTTAGACATCCTTAGACCATTTCATGTTAGTGGGGAAAGTGTTGGTTCGTTCCTGCCATCATTCTTTTGGGATAGCCCATTTTCAGACAACATCAACTAATGCCAAATGTATATTGTGAAAAAGGAAGATACCAAACTCCCCAATCATAGATGATCATAGATGATTTTGGCGCATTTTGGCGGGTTGATGTCTTGGACATACTGAGATGGCAAACAGGGACCCTGAAGACTTCTGACTGAAGATCATTGAAACTGTTTCCTGCTGGCAACAGGATGCTTTTGTAAAAGTGTACTAGCCAACTAATCCGATTATGGGCTTTTCACTGCGGTTGATTCCATGAAAGGTCAACATGGGCTCGGGAAAATGTGGGCGATCTGAAACTCCAGTGAAACCATCACTCAGGCAATTTTAGCACAACTTGTCCCATCGGAAGCAATAGTCCTGGTCATTTCAGTACGTGTGTGAGTTTGACCTGTCTAATGTATATTTTGTATAGCCAAGTGATCACATGCCCCCGTTGACATTTGGCTTTAGGGCCCTTGAGTCATACCGCGCTGCCGTGGTAAAAGTTGGGCATTTGACGATCCCGTTTCCAATTCATATTGGTAGCGGAGCAGGTGACGACCTGCATCCGGTGGTACGTCAGTGACCCAGGGAACCCTTTGTGAATTTGAGTCTGGTAACTTTGGGAATCAACTGAACTTCGAGTGTGTCGTGGTTCGGGAATCTGTCTGACCCTGACCAGGGCAGACACTTGTTAACGTTTTTCCTTGTTCGACTCCGAACGGAGCGAGCATCATGTCGATCAATGGCCTTCGTTTCAATCAGGAACGCCATTCGTCGGCACCACTTGAGACGAAGAGTGGATCATACATCTATGCAGGTGATGCGGCGAACTTTCATGATTGGCAGTTCAGGACTCTCCTTCGGATTCGTCTTTATGAGCAACAATTGGAGGAGGAGACAAGTAAGCCTGCGGATCCCGTTGGGACCACAGCAACAGAGCCTGCCGCAGAAGACGCAGATGAGTATGTTACTTTTCCAGATTTGTCGGGTGCTACTCAAGCAGCCCAGCCTACATCAGCAGTCTCGACTCCGAAGTCTGGAGCGAGCCGAAAATCCTCGAAGTCCGGCAAGCAGAAGACAGACATTGACCGTGGACCATTGGTCAACAAGGTGATTGAAGGACTGAGAGGAGATGCTTTCTCAATAGCTAGGGATCTTGGACTTGAAGTGTTGTCCAAACCTGGTGGCCTTGTGAAACTTGTGGGTGAGATCAAATCCCATGTGTTTCCAAGAGCCCGTGAGGAAGCCAAGGAATTATTTCGAGCAGGACAGAAGCAAGGTGGTCCTTTATCTCGCCAACCAGGCGAACCCATGCTTTCCTATGTTCAGAGGAGACGACGTTGGTGGCACATGCTATGCGAGTTGGATGACACAATGGTGTTTTCGGACAGCTTGAGGACAGAGTTGATGTTGGAGTTGAGTGGGCTCAATCGACAGGAGATCCTCGTTGTGAAGGCCTGTGCAGACACTAAAGATTTTGAAGGTGTTGGCAAGGTGCTGATCGAGAACTACAGTGGCACTCACTTGCGAGAAGGGTCACGATCCTGGACAGGACGTGGTAATCCTCAACAGCATGGCAAGTCGTCAGGCAAGGGTTATGGCAAAGGCAAACCTTCTTCGAAGGGATCGTATTCCCAAGCAGCCTATGCAGCCTACCCCGATGATGGGGAGGAACATGCAGAATCTTGGGATGAAGCTGTGGATCAATCCTGGGAGGATGATTCATATGTTGGCATGCTTGGTGACATTGCAGAAGAGGAGCCAGGAAACCTAGAAGGTGACAACGAATTTGATTACTTTGACGACGTCGATGAGTACGAAGCAGTTGCATTGAACAGCTTGCTTGAAGTTGAAGGTGCAGAAGACGATCGACAAGCAGGAGACGCCATCCAGCTACAACTTGCTGCTTTCACTGCAATGGGGAAAGCAGGTGGCAAGGGGAAATCCTTCGGGAAGCCCAAAGGAAAAGGCAAAGGAAAGATCGTGAAGTCCAACCTCACTATCGATCAGAGGAGACGTAAGCTCACAGAGCTGAAGTCGAAGAGCAAATGTTTGAGGTGCGGAGTCATAGGGCACTGGGCCGGTGACCCGGAATGTAAATTCCCGGGGTCGAAAGCCGGAGCCCCTGGAAAGTCAGCCCCAAAGCCCGCAGCTCACTTTGCCGACATGAGCGATTCTTCAGATGACGATGGTGTGACTTTGACAGCTTCACCTGATCGTGACAGAGATGGAGTTGCTATGATGGCAGTTCGACAAGCGAAGCCCAGCAGTCGACCTTCACGTGCCGCAGCATCCAGCAGCAACGTTGGCTTGATTTCCCGGGATCTCGATGTTACAATGAGACCCGAGGACCATGGGTGCATCTTTCCTGTTGGACAGTTCAAGGGTTTGTCTTTTTGGAATGTGTTGTTTGAACAGACAGGGTACTATCATCATGCCAAGAAACATACCCCCAAGAGTCCATACTATGTCACATGGTTGAATTGGGTTGACAAGTACTTTGTGGTTGGTGCTGATGGGATTCACTTGCGCGAAGTCCCTGTTGAGCATGTCGAGCACCGAGATTTGTTGGTGGCTCGGGGAACTGGCAGAAAGAAACCCCCAAATCCTCCTTTGCCGAACAAGTGTCAGGAATGTCGTGAGTTTACAAAACAAGGTTCTACGGGGTACACCATCAGGAAGACCTGTCTTGTGTGCGGTCATTCCGAAACAACAAGGCGTGACATGGTACCGTTGATGTCCCCTGAAAATTGCCCTCATGATGACACCGATTTTAGGGGATCCAGCAAATCAACACACCGTACTTTCTGCAAGAAGTGTTGCACTTTCATTGATGAAGCTCCTATGCAGATTCGTAAGGAGCGTGTTGCAATTGCCAAGAAGGTTGAAACAGCATCAGTTCGAACAGTCCCCATTGTTGAATCATTGGTTGAAGAATCGGATGGATTGAATCCAGTCCAGTTGGAAGAGTTGTTACCCTTGTTTGCCACTCTTGTTACCGAAACCTGTCAATCTGAGGTGATGACCCGTGCACGACTTCATGAACTACTGCATCAAGCCATCAATGACGTGACAGAGGAAGAGGACAGTTTTTCTCTTGTCAATGAAGATGGGCACGGCGACCCCTCGGGCAGGGAGTTAGCTGGGTACGTTGGCATTTGTTTGCATGGAAGTGACACTCAATACCCTCAAGACTTGGTTTACATGAACTATGAAACTGTTGACATTGCCAGGTCATCCCATGTCTTTGCAGTATTGGATGAAGGTTGCAACAGCACTTGTCATAGCAAAGCCTGGGCAGTCGATGCAGAAGCACGACTGGCCCGATTGGGTTACAGTATGCCATTGAAGGATGACGGTTGTAAGAGTTTTGCTGGTCTGGGAAGTGGTAGTACCAAGACCGAAGGTGTGAGATCTATTCCTTTTTCGCTGCTGCTTCCAGACGGGAACATGCATGGGGAGTTGGATTCATATCAATTGTCGACAGGCAACAGTCCATTGCTTCTGTCATTGCATGCGCAAACCAAGTTAGGCCTAGTGAAGGACCTAGCAAAAGGGGTGATTTCCATCAAAGATCAACCATTGAATATCAAGAGATGTTCCAAATCAGGTTTACTTGTGATGAACTTGACTGAAGGATTGACCAACATCAACAACACACCGTCGGATGAACTTCCCCAAATCCCGAAGTGTCACAGAAAGTACAACATCGCATACACAGCATCCACATCGGAAGTTGCCATGGCTGACCATGACATGTGTGGTTTTCATTCGAGGGACTACGACATCTTGCAGACGAAGTTGAATGAAGAACTGCGCAGTGACAGGAAGGTGGTCATCATGACTCGTGGACGTAGATTTCAACAACATGCGTGCAGAACCAGCAGGAGCACTTTGAGCATCAACTGTGAGGACATTAACGATCCTGATCAGGACGTTAACCTCAGGTCGCATGTGGGTTGGCATCATGGGATCCTTGAGACTATGAGCAAAGTAGACAGGTTCATCCAACATCTCAACAACATCCTCCAGTTCGTCACACAGCAGGAAGCCGACAGTAAGGTGCTGGTGGACTTGGAGTGCAAGTCAGGTCGCCACAGGTCAGTGGGACAAGGATTTGCTGCCTACAGGTGTCTCAGAGTCCTTGGTTATGACGTTGTTCTCATTCATGCATCATCCTGGATGTGGGGAGAGATGCGTTGTGGTGGAGTTTGTCATGGATGTAAGGACATGGCTGCGAGCTTGGGACAAATTCGACATTTGATCCCGAACATGTCAAGGTTGGCACGATCACGAGGCAATGTGGCTTCAAGCCGTGACGTGCGCGATGCTCCAGCCGATGATGTTTCAGGTGGACATTCATCTCATCCTACATCAGATCACCCCACTGCAGGACATCCTACATCAGATCAGCTTGATGAGATTCGACGTTTGGTACAAGGGCTTGCAACAGATGTTGGACATCTTAGGACAGAACAGGTTGAGATCAAAAGGATGGCCGAGACCGGAAGGAGATCAAGGAGTCCATTGCGTCGACGGAGATTGCCGACGCCACCGTCGCCACCAGCAAGGCGCAGAAGATCACCAAGTTTTCGTCGCAAGTTACCTCCTTGGAGACATGCACAAGCATCCAGGGGAAGAAGTCCATCGCCGAGGCCACTATCTGCGAGGCCAGCTCCCAGGAGCCCAGATCATCCTCCACCGCACATTTCGGACGTGCCAGGGACCGATGACGGATCCCGATCTTCAGGGGCCATGGATGGACCTCGAACTTCAACGTTGCCACAACGATCTCGAGAGCCTCCCAATGATCGCGATGAACTTGAGCGACTGATCCGAAACAATTTGGCATCAGATGGACCGTTTGACAACAAGAACGTGTCAGT